CCACTAATTCAACTCGGTTTGTCTCTGTGTGCGCCATTCCAGTCCATTAATTGAATATCCCGCCCTTTTGCACATATTGAGTTTTAATTTTGTGGTTGCCATCGTCCCTCATCTTCGGTGGCGGAAAATTAAATTCTCGTATGTGGCAGAAATTTTCTTTATACATTTTTTGTACTTAATTGGGCATCACAATGAAGTCACCTCAGACATTATTTACCTCGTCAACAGGTGTGAGGATAGAGGAATTTCCTGCGACACCACATTTCACGTGCGGAAAAAAACAAAAGCAATAAATGAAAGTAATTTCCTGAGTGGTAAACTGAAAATCATTTTAAATAAGGCATGAAAACGCATTAAGGGCGGCGGCACCTTGTCAGACAATAAACAACAACTTCCCCTCCGGCTTTATATATATTTAAGCACACACTCACCCTTCATTTTGCCCTGATATCCGATAAGATGGTCTGACATTATTTACGACCCCACCTCATTTTGGATTTTATGTGTAAGTAAAATTATGTAAATGGCCAAAAATTATGCTGAATATTCTGGGCTCTTTATATTACCTGGATTACAGAAATCAACAGATTTTCTTTTAATAATACTATTTTAATACATTTGAAGATTTTAAAAATTCCGAAAATTTTTCACATACCAAAACCAAATATTTGGCCTGCATTTTCTAAGGAAAACTAGTTATTAGCTTATGAAGAATTGAAATTCTCGTATGCTTTTTTTTTCATAGTTGTGGGAACGGTGGCGTATACGTGTTGCGGAACACGGAGTTTGGTTGGCAGCGCGTCTGACAGTCGCAGTCCCGAATTCTATATCGTACACACACACTCTATCCCGCACACACACACACACTCACACCCAACGGTATATAAAGTGATAAGCAGCCGCAGGGCAAACGTTGAGCGCACGCATGCAAATAAAATTGCCCATACGCCCCTTTGAACGGTCTCCTTTGCGGCGCCGTTTTCCGTTTGTCTGCGTTCGTGTGTTTGCATACATTTCTGGTGATAATACAAGAAATTGTATCAAGCCAAAATTGTTTTTTAAAATGTTACGTGCCCGGCGGCTGTTTTGACAAAAAATTTATATGCGGTAGGTAATAAAAATGCAATATAATTCCATATAAAATTTGTATGCTCCTTCGCTTTGGTCTAGGGTAATCGGAAAAGTTTTGATTGCAGCAAAGAGATTGGTAAAGGATACGGGATAGGGAAAAAAGAAAAACGTAAAATAGGAGATAGGCAGTCTGTGAGAATCTTGTATTAAATTGATTTTATTTGATGAATATGTTGAAACTGTATTCGTGCAGAACAAAATGGCCAGTATTAAATAAGAAGATAAAGAAACAAATGGATCTGAAAAATAATATTACATTTCAATAATTTAGAATGCAACATTTTCAATAAATTTCACCTGAATATAAGTGGTTCTTAATCAACCTGTCCAAATGAATTTTAAATGCTTATTCAACATATAACTTCCTCAATTATACAACTAACGTTATTCAATTAAAAGCAATTAATGCGGGAAAATTAAAAGGGAATATGCAATTGACAGTCACCGCAAAACAAACAGACTTTTGCCATTTTCACACTCACTCCAATCAATTTACTAGCAAAACCGTATGCACAATACCACTAGGCACATCACACCCCCTTGTCCCTATTTTGCACCACCATGCGGTTCGGGGCAATTATAAAATCCACAAAAGGAATTGCCATGACGACAATCAACTAATGAAATTAATGGCAATTTGCATTGGCAGCAACAGCGTTTACATGGGCGTGGTCGGAAATAATGCAATTCGGCTCAGTTTAAAACCGGAAACGCGACCCTTAACTCCAGAAGTGACCCTCCCTTGCGGCGAAGGATATCGCACACAAATACTAATTAATCAGCTTGCTATTAATTAAACGACCGCCGAATGGGGCATAGGGGCCCAAGTGAACGATATCCATAATCCCCCAGAAGTGGCTTTTTGTCCCCGCAAAGCTTTAATTGCTGCCTTGCATTTAAAACAGGAAACCTGCGCAGGAAAATGGCAAAATTTATGAACCTATTTCTCGGCACTTTGGACATCCGATAAATAACGCTATAGATAATGACGAGGTGGGTGGCGCATGCCAACTCGGTTTGCTGTTGGTGTATTAATTTACAACCTCTTCACAATGTCATTGTTATGGGTGGCTTTATCAGTATTTTTTTCCTTTTTTTTGGCGTCACTCGCTGCAATGGCGCCAGTACCCTGCGCCTGTTATTAAACATAAAAATAAATTAATAAGCGAATGACACCCACACCCCGACAGTCTCAATTAAGCGACGCAGTCAGTTAATGTTGATGGAAGCGGAGGAAGTGACAGGGTGAGAACCACGCAAATATTTTAACGATGCCATGTGAAGTTTTTCACGTTGTCAATAGCAAATTAAATGTGGAAAGGGTGAAGGAAAAGGGCGAAGTAATAAGGGCGACAATATCGTTAAAGCAAGTAGCAGCATATGCAGCATACTCATAGTTATTAAGAAAAATTGCAAGGAGGTGGCAATAAAGGTTAAAGAGAGTTTCTAAGTTCTCATTTTAAAGTAACAACTTATTCATTTGCTGGTTTTTTTAAATACACAAAGTTTAAAACTAGTTTAAAATGAGTTTAAATGTATAAAACGTCGATCTATTGAATGTGCTGCAAACTCTGGCATGAAATTATAATAACCTCTGCACGGGTATAAAAATAAAAGTTCGTATTTCAGGAAAAAATATAAAAGCAATTCATAGCAAGTTGAAAATGTTGAATGTGCGTAGAAATTCCTGTTGGCTTTTGCCGTCCAAAAGGTCCACAAATGCATGGAGGAATGTCAATTTCAGAAGCACAAAGCGACGAACCATATGCAAATGCAACCGATAAATTTTCAATTAAATGGGAAATTGGTAGTAGACAGTGAGAGAGAACCTAGACATCAGCATGGCCAAAGGGGGCATGGTAAAACCATTCAATTAGGAAATTAAATTTAAAATAAAAGAAAAAAATAAATCTTTGAATGGTTTTCACTCAGTCACTTAAGAGAGTTTTAATTTCTACCAATCAATTCCAGATCGAACACTTGACTAAATATTTGCTCGGTGCACCCATATGTTAAAATCTTCATAAAGAGTGACTTCTGTGTTTCAGACAAACATCTTAAACTATACAACTTAAAAATTCTCTGACTTTAAACAGAACATTACTCACCAAAAATACCAAATGTTCCATTTTATAGGGACAGTAACTAACAAAGTATAAATTTACCTACTTCGTTTACATCTAGGACAAAAATATATGTAAAATGCTGATTGGAAAACGTGGCAAATAATAATACATATTGGTACAAAAGTCCGATTTCCAAACCGAATGCTGATCAATGAGTAATTTATTCCATTTGCGAAAGGATTTCCCTGGACAACAAACATTTCAGCATAAATCATTGCTACCCATCCATAAAAGCATTTTATTGGGGAAACTGTGCGTTAAAATTATAAAATTAAATAAACAACTGTTGAAGGGGTTGCAAGGCCTTTTGCGTTCCCCCATTTTGACTGTGATTACCAACTCATGCAACAGTTGGTTGCCAGCTTTTAGTTGCCAGTGGCCATAAAGGGGTGCACCAGCTGGGTCACCTTTTAATGCAAATTAGAGACGCGTCTGCGGTCCTCCAATGGGTTGAAGGCTATGCAGATGGGGGAGGTGTGAACCGATTGAAAATTCCACCACCGCATCGAACGTGTCTTGGCATTTATGTACACCACCCCCTTCCAAAGCCAGCGATGTGGCAACAGGAGCAAAATTTAATTGACAATTGTTAAGGTGGCTCAATTTCCAAAGCCAGGGGAAACTGAGTGGCCAGTCCCTTGTACAAACCCCCCTTTAACCCATCAGAGCATGTTTGAATAACTGGAGAAGGAGTTGTGGCACGTGGGTGGTTCCACTAAAGAGAGATGGACAAATAAATTTATATTTTCAGTTCAACGTAATCATCCATATAATTTTTGTTTTGTACTTGATCTTAGTTGGATGGTATAAATTTTATAATATTTTATTTTTTAATTTCTAGTATTTGGAAATATAAATTGAACTAGCTTTTTTCTTTTCGAATCTTATTCCTTTACTCCTTTGAATGCCATAAATGGCGACAGACCAAAGTATGCTAGACCATATATGGGTGCGGTACTTTGGTACGACCAGAATCAGTAAAAGCAGTTAATTAAGCGAAAACAGAACTTTCAAACCAAAAGCATTACCCGATGGTAATTTTGTTAAATAGAACACGATTTCAAATCATCGCAAAATGCCAAACATCCAATCATGTTGCATCAAACGTTTGCGCTCTAATTTAACATAGATGCGGGTTGTGGGTAGTCCTGATTTAAGCTGCGATAAGCTGAGCGTACTTAATGCTGCTTAATCAGTTGGGCAAAAATCAGAGAAAAAGTATTTTCCCGCCAACGTCGCACAAAATTTTAAATTACATTTCAACTTGCGCTGCGGCTGCAGTTTCCTTCATCTTTTGCTTAATAGCGGGGGAAAAGGGATATTCGGGGGATGTGGGTGGCAGGCTTCATTCGGCAGGGAAATTTTCTGATGCCGAATCCCAGCAATTAGGAGCCAAAAAGCGTTGCATATTCTGTGGCGCTAAATTGCTCGGATTCTCCCCAAAAAAGTGTAGTTAATGAGTTTTGGGGTCAGCATAATGCGGATTGCAATAGCCCAAAAAGTTCGAATCATTTGCCATACCACTTGCAGCATTCGTCGGAGTTTAAGCAGAGGAATTCTTGAAAAGTTTCTCTCCCAGTTTAATTATTCGCAGAGATAAAATATTTTCCACAAATTAAATTGAGCACTTAAGCTTTAAGAAAATGCCGACGCAATTAAATTACTTTCGTCTCATGCAATCTACGGCAGCATTTTTTCGTAGCAATTAAATAAAAATTTTATTGCAAAATGTCCAGTACTTACCAAATATAAAAACTATTTCGATAAATTGGATCTGCAAAGAGAGAGAAATACAAATCATTTAATATTTAAGAATATAAGAATATCTATGTTGGTTAAAAGACGTTTAAAAATGCATGAGAAAAATGGTTCGCAAAAACAAAGACTCAAAGTTGTCATTGAGTTGCGAGGGGAAACATTTAACGAGCTATTTTTTATGCATTAACTTTTTTGTTTTAAGAGCGTAATTAGAAGAAGCTTTTCAAGTGGGAGGTGCCCAAAATGGACAGCAAAACGGCAGCCACTTTATGCTAATGGTAATGGCTGAGGACGCAAAGAAAAAAAGAAATGGTGGAAAATGAGGAAGAAGACACAACGTCGCACTGAAATATGTCGCTCAAAGTAACGAAGAGAAGTAGCTAAAATATACATATACACGGGTATCTATATCTGGGTTAGCGAATGCCAAATGGGATTCATATTAAAAATAGCAACAAGACAATAAGGGAAACCAAAAAAAAAGGAGCGTTGACAGCCAGGCTAAATTTATCAAAGACAAGTTGGGGTTTGGGGTTTCATATATGTCAACGCTGACGTAATATCAGTCAAATTACGTTAATGCATTTCTTTCAACAAAATATATGTGAAAGAAATATGAGTTACATACTTTTTTTTGGTTAAAAATTATGGACAAAAGAAAAGAAATATTTTTTTTTAATAAAAATATTCTGAAACAAGTTTAACATATCAAGACTTTTTAAGTGGTTTAATATATTTTTGAGAATATTACATTTTATACTATTTCTGTAATATTTAAAAACGTGAGTACTTTTAGAAGTATCAACTCGTTCTTTCATTTCAGCTGAATCAGTTTCACATAAAGACGCCTCCCTCTCTTTCTCTTTTCCTGTCTTTTGAGCCAACTTCAAATTGAACTCATTTGGCCATTTGCCAATTAAATTTTTTTTTTTATCCTTTTGTCGAAGAGCATGGGCCGATTGGTTATCCCTTTCTGCAGGGCAAGGCAAAAGCCCACCATGCATGGCAATTATTTAAGGCAACACCCGCATCACCCCCTCGCCAATGGCCCATCTTGCCATCCCTTACCATCCTTACCCTTTGGCAGCCAAACCACGAAAACTTTGAAAGCCTTTTGGCCGCCGGCTAACAATGTTCGCTTGAACAAACTCTGCCCCTCTGAGCCTTCTAGCCGGTTACATTTTCCCATACTTATGCACTCGAAAAAATAACTCAACAGCTAACGATTTACTGATAGCATTACCTTTTTGGAAACCAATCTTCACTTTAATAATAACAATATTGCTTTAAATCAGATAGTATTAATTATTTTGTTTTAAATGTATTTTGATTTGATTTTGTTTAATCAGATTAATTAATTGTTTACACATACTATTTCTAACTTCCGCTTCGTTTTAGGCATCCTTCTGTTTTTCGTAGTGTCGTAATGGAGGGGATCCATCGCCGCAGCCACAACATTGTGCTGTGGCTCAGTTTTGCAGCCACTGACGGGGACGTTGACGGTAAATGCAAAAATGCCAGGGCGTTCCTGAATGACCAAAACATTCAGCTTGCATGTGTGGGTGGAATGTGCATAGGTGTGTGGGTGGGCGCCATTTGGGCGAGAGTTAGAAGGATATGACCGACCGCATTTGATTTTCATCTATGCTGCAGACCAACTCATTGCCCTCTTCCCCGGTAAAGTGGGCTAAGAACTTTGGTACTTTGTTTAGTTGAATTACGTCAAAGCACATTAAGTTCCTTTGGTGCGCTCTGTTTGTTAAGTGCTTAATGAACTTTGCTAAACATGCTTCGCCGGGGACTTGACTTAACTTGGCCTCTAAACTTTTCACATCTCACTTTCACTCGACCAACTTCGTCCAAAGTCCTTTCACTCCCCTAATGCTGTTGAGAGATTTATGGCAGTCTTTCTTGGTCGTTGGCGATTTCATCTTAACCTCATTCAATTTGCATGCGTTTTCTATCATTTCCATTATTAATTAGCTTGCAAATTGTTGTTTACTTCATTTGGTTAAGCTTGAATTATCAATTGAGTGGCGGGATTAGACGCGTTAAATGCATTGCCAATTGAAGGAAAATGCGCAATTAGCAGTTAACCCGTTAAACCCAATATGAAATATAAAAGTTTAAATAAAAGGTTTATAAATTTATACCTTTTTTATAGAATAGGTTTCTTTATATAACTTTAAGCTTGCTTAACTTAACCAAAGAACCTTATAAATCATTTCTTAAACCACATAAATTGCTCATCCAGAATTACCAATTGCTCCGCTCCCCTATTCCCTGTATTTTCCCCCAAGTCTTGGCCCACCCGTTGTGCGAACCCATTTGGCATAACGTGTCTGAGCTAATGTCACACATGCATCATAGCCACAGGAACAAGGCGACAAGGGGAGCGAAAAACGTGGATAAATGGAAGCTGGGCGGGATGTCAAGGACTTGACTAAGCTGCAGCTAATTATGCAAATTCATTTAATGCCATTGTTAAAATGATATTTGCCTCAGGGATTTGTCAGACTGATAGACCACAGCATCTCCCTCACTTAAGCACGGATAATTAAGCTCAAAGTTGACTTGTGAAAAAGTTACTTGCTCTTCAATTAAGCGGTACCGCCTGTGTTGGTAGAAGTATATAACAATAACAATAATATGGTTAAATGTGATAAATGTTTATAATAATTTAATTATTTCTGTATCTGTAAAAGTAAATTTACTTTCACTGTGATAAATGCCATTTAAAAACGTTAGAAAATAATAATATTTCATTTCTAAGTACAGTTTCCCTTTTATTGTTGGTTCGAATGCAATTGCGTCGAAAAGCCAGCAATATTTCTTTTTGATTTAAAGTTATAACCACGAATTAGCCGTACAGCGAAACAAGCAATATCATAAGGGTGAGAGAGCGTTGAATAAAAATTCCGTTTAAGAATTTTGCCTTCGCAAACATTTTGAATGCGGAGTACAGTTGCCTTTGAAAATTTATGAAAGGCGACGCGACCACCTTGAGCATATATTAATAAAAACAGGAGCTCCGGCCGACGGGTAGGCTGTACAATAAATCTTCTAGTTATTGTTTTATAACATGCTTTCAAGCGTAAATCCCTTACAATAAAGGTAAGCGTTTGGGTCTCAATTTCGTTCATTTTGGCAGTGCTGTAAGCACTCTTTAAACTTGTTTCTCCGCCTAAGTGTTCCGAGGGGGCACTTGGACAGTTTGGAAATTGGTTGCCTTAACAACAAAAAACTGGAGAAGTAGAAAGGTAACCAAGCATTAAATTAAAGCCTTAACAAAGTTTCTTTTTTCTGATTTTGATACGCCATCGTTTATGGGCTTAGGCGCATCCGATTCCAGGAGTTTTATTTGCTTAAACTTTGGCCATAATTATTATTTTGTTAGCTTAGAGCGGGCTTATTATAAACAATCTACAGGTGGAAACAACATTTTAGATGAGGTTTTGCTGAAATATTCTCCCCACTCTTTATTACGAACTAAATTGCTTAGAAAAATGTAGATAAATGCAAATGAAACATTTTCTGCAATGCTACTTCTACTTTTTGTTCTTGCGACCACATGAATTTCCTAGAAGTTTGACAAATTTAGACATCCTAGCCACGGGCAATTATGCCTTCGACTATGCAGCAAAATATAAATAATTATCTGCCATTGCCTAATTTTGTTGAAAGACCAAAGCCACAAAACCATTTGCCAGCAACTTGATTTCGTTCGTTATAGGAGGAGCTTAGGAAATCTGCTTACAGTGTTTAATTTCAACACTGTCCGCAACCACAACACTGAAACTGCAGCTGGCACTCCTCCTTCGTCCCCGTAAAATAATAATAATAATAATTTACTATGAAACCCGAAACCACAGGATAACATGAAGACCCAAACCCGCATTCCAGCGTTCATTGTAGTCTGCGGTGGTGCGGGTGGCTTTTCGGATAGACTTTTGGGTGTTTCCGGGAGTTGATGTTGGCCAACTGCAGCTCTGAGTTGGCTAACCGATGGAGTGGGCTATAAAAAATGGCTTAATTAGTTGCCATTGCTGGATGGCAGGATAAATATTGAAGTTGTTGGCTTTTGCAAATATTTGAGAGCTGGAATGCAGCCATCTGGTGAAAAGGAGGGAAAGAAGTGGGATATCGAAAGGAAATTATTATGAGCATTCGAAAACTATTTCAGTGCGGGATAAGTTCTGCTTTAAGGTGAATTCATTAGTTATCAGAATATTTAATTTAAGAAATATTTTATTATTTCTAAAAATTTTGTTTTATTTTTTTTCTATATTAGTTTTCTTAACATACTTTCTGAATTCTTTCGCTCATTTAAGAAAATTAATTATCCTAGAGGCAAACGCACATTGCTCTCAAAATTGTTTTCTAATTACGCAAGCCAGAGACTGAGTTTTGGCCTCAAGAGTCGAAGCAATTTATGCTGCACCATGGGTTCTTATTGCCCGAATCGCAGACTCAAATTGGTTCAGTTTATTACGATGTGCATGTTCTAGAGATCGGAATTCAGAAGGAAAAGTTCATGGGAAGTTCAATTAAATACTGCAGCATTCGGACAACTGCAGAGGAATGAGTTTCCCTACTTTTCCAAAAGCCACATCATCATCATCATCATCTTGAGCTCATTTCGTTGCTTGCAGTCAGGTTAAATTTGATTATGTGGAGAAGCGAGCAGGGAAAACTCACACGAAGGCTGAAAAGCAAATCTGTTGACGTTTTGCAAAACGATGTGTTGCTCCTTCTCCTAGGAAAAGTGCAGGCAAGGCAATTTTCTTGCATTTTAAGCAAACAAAACCGGTGCAGCCGGATACGCCGGATACGCCCTTCGACCCTTGGGACAAACTAACGTAACCGGCAGTTAAATGTTTTCATTTTCATGCTTCTTCCCCAAAATGTTTATGACGCCCAAGCATCAGGCAAACACTGAATTTATTTAATTAAAATGTGTGTATATGTGACGTGCACTCTGCCTAGATTCTAGATTCTAATTGAATTGCCAAGAGA